AAAAAAAAAAAAAAAAAAATTCCATCCCAAAGAGATTTTATATTTTTTTCTGCATTATGCCCATGGTTCTGAGTCCATGCCTGATATTCATCATTACGCTCTTTTGAAACCACGTCTGGCATTATCAGCACACACACTCTCCCATAGCGCTGAAAAAAACCTGTGTACCTTCCGCCTCCAGCACAAAGAACTACGAGCACCACCTCGTACATGTGGCTGTGCATTTGCGTGCACGTCTGCAAGCACACACATGGAAGAGCATTTGGTCGTTCGAAATGGGATATATGCGCCCTCTTGACTTCAGGCGACAACATAGCAACAAATGACTACAGGGGACAGCAGACAGCCGACTCAATTTCCAATGGACTGGAGATCCATAACATACAACAGCAGAGTATCACTGCCCCGTAGCACAGACGCGCTGGAAAAGAACGACAAACTGCATATAAAGTCCCATTCCTTGCACCTCAACCTAACATGCAAGAGAGAGAGAGAGAGAGAGAGAGAGAGAGAGAGAGAGAGAGAGAGAGAGAGAGAGAGAGAGAGAGAGAGAGAGAGAGAGGCACTGGAAACCTACCACAGAGGTCGTTCACCTTCTTCGTTATCTCTTTGATGTCCTTCTCTACCTTTTTGATCGGTCCCGCATATGGACCAAGACCCTGAGGAGGAGGATGTTTGTAACGTGAAATACAAGGAAGAAGGAGATGCAACCACAGAAACACAGGTACAGAAGTTAGAAAGGAAGGAAGCACAAGTACCACATACAGATCTCAGCTGCCATAAGGCAACAAACAATTGAGAAAGGTACCAAACCAGGTCTGGCAAGGCAACAGACAAATTTAAAAGGAACAGGTGTTTAGCCGCAAATAAGTCCATTCTCACACAAGGGTTTTACCAGATATGTCTTCATCCAATTACGTCTGCGTACATTCAGTCCCGGAAGTCCAAATGTGGTGGGTATGTGTTCCAAGGCTGAAACCTACTGCATTCCATGGGTATGTGTTCCAAGGCTGAAACCTGCTGCATTCCAATCGCCCAAATTTGCAAAAGAAGAGCCGCTAAATACACCAGTGTAACGAGAAAAAAAACGTCAGGTGGAGATAAGTTCAAATTTGGCAGCAACATCATCATAACAAGCAGCAAGGCATTGCTGAGCAAGCTGGCGCAATATCGATTCAGGAACCAGAACTGCTCCTCCTCGTCCCTCTATCTGATACTCCAACCCACAGCACATCACATCCGCATGCTCTAGGAAAAAATGCAAGTCGTACGAGCGATCGTCTGCACTGGTAATGGACTATCACGCCAGGACCTCTGTGCCAGAGGAACCAACAGTATGAGTCACCACCAGGGGGCAAGAGCCCTTCTGCATGTTCCACAAACAAATCAGAAATCGACCAACTGACCTACAGTAGCTCAGTGTGTTCGCCTCAGACAATAAAAGACCTGCGGATAAGGTTGTCCGCCTCCACGAAAAAACAAACAAACAAACAAACAAACAAACAAAAAAACAAAAAAAAGGAAGGCAACTGTTCGTTTTGAGCGACCAACTCGGCATCCGCATCTACTTCCCGTAGCGATAACCGATGTCACAAGGCCCCAGCTGCAACACCGGTGGACCCCATTGCCTATGAAACCAGTTAATGTTCGCGATGTTAGTGTGGATCAGATGGCAATGTGTTCGCCTCAGATACAATTAAAAACCTAAGGATAAGATTGTCCGTCTCTATAGAAAAAGAAAAACGGAAAACAAAGAAAAATTATTCGCCTCGAGCAACCAGCTTGACATCCGCATCTACTTCCCATAGGGATAACCCACATCACAAGGGAGCAGCTGTAACGCAAGTGCACCCCGTTGCCTAAGGGCCAGACCCTCTCGGTATATTGTCCATGCCCAGAGAGCGTGAAACTGGCCGTAAAACTGGTTTGGTTGATGCTAACTTGGCATAAATATAGCACCACCAGTGGTGGTGTCCGGCCCCAACTATCAATCTTCTTGAAGATGCAGCCTTCTGATCTACAAGCGAACTGCCGTTCCTGCTAACTGGAGTTGAGTCGGAACATGGGTGCAAGCCCAGCCATTTTCCAGGCACACACCAACCATGGAGGGGGCTCGCCCACACACATACGACAACGCTACGGGCCTGACGGAGACCCCATGGTGGGGGCCCCACCCACACAACTGCAAGGCCATCCATCCGTCAGGGTCTTTTTTCCGTGCCATAGCACATGACAATGCACAGCGTGTAGGTAATTTTACCCTGAGCAAATCTGCTATGGTAATTTTAGTGGTACTCTTCTCATATTCAAACAGCTTCAAGTACCACTAAGATCTCCATAGCAAAAATCTGTTATGGTAGTTTTAGTGGTACTCAAAGCCGATTGAAAATATGAGAAAGAGCATTTTGCTTGCCTGACGTTTTTCATGTTATTTGAATTCGATAAACCCAAAAAAAGAACAACTCCCCCAATGATTGGGTCTGTGCATGTTCTCTTAAGGCGAATGTCCAGAGTGCAGAATTGATTGCAACCTGTTTTGTGTTTCTGCTACCAAGTTGGATGGGCCTGCAAGAGTGGGGGGGGGGGGGGGGGGGCGCCCCCCCCCCGCGGGGGGGGGGGGGGGGGGGGGGGGGGGGGGGGGGGGGGGGNGGGGGGGGGGGGGGGGGGGGGGGGGGGGGGGGGTGAGCCCCCTCCCCCATTGATTGGGTCTGTGCATGTTCTGTACTGAGCTCTGGACGTGAAATGCGGTCAGATTCATCCAGGCCGAACCGTAATTGCAGTCAGATACATTTAGGAAAGTGCTGGTGCGAGTATGCCCTTCTTCACACAGATTTCTCGGACCAATCTGGCCATGCAGGCTGGTGCACCCCATCAGAGAATGTCAACCTGGCCGCAAGCACAAGCTGGTGCATCTTCCTTTTTTTTTTTTTTTTTTTTTTTTAAATAACAAGCTGGTGCATCTCATATCGGCAAATGTCCTCTTTTTTCCAAGAGGCCACGTTTGCAGAATCCCCAGACTGCCTCCGCGCGACTGGTGTGAGCAAGGACAAGGGCAGAAACAGCAGCAGCATGTGTGCCCACCAGGGAAACTTATTGGGACGGGGCACCATGACTCCCAATGCCGCAGACAGAGGGAAGCCGTCATTTGGGATTGTGGCCCGGGCACAGACCATAGCACTTACAGTCATTATAGCTGTATTTGTGCCAGTTGGGCCAATTTTCAGTCCAGATATAGCAAAAACGACTGTACGTTCTATTTGAGTGAAGACAGTACCAAAACTGCCTAACTCAGCAATCAGATCAAGAATCAGACACAGACGGCCTCGCTCCACTACTGTCATATGTGAAAAATTCAAAAATGCCAAGCGTACCTGCCCAGTTTCGATGGAAAGGTACACGTGGCACTTGTCACTTCCCGCCGAGCAAGGCCAAAAGGTCCAGTTCGTCCAGTGTTACATACTGATGCCACACGGGTCCCTTTAGGACCCGACCACTAGACCAAGGGGTACTTAGGCCGGCCCAGCCAAAGGCCGGACCTTTCTCCCAGTAGGCCACATGAGCCCACCGGATGGTTTTCCTGCAGCAGACCAGGTATAGGCCCAAACGACATTACCGTTGGGCCTGGCGGCGCTCTTGAGGCTGCCGCCCGCTGGTCTGATCTGAATCGTCAATCGTGACGATTCAGATCACGGCGCACTGGGGCAGCATTGAGGCCGACCAGCCACCGGACGGTACTTAGGCCGGTCCAACGGCCTTTCCAGCAGGTTGGAAGGCAGTACGGCCAGAGTCACGGAGCTGCGCTATTCCTGGTTCAGAGCGCAGCGGTTGGAGCTGCAGCGCAGTTTAGTGCACTGCAGCAAAGGGATGCGAGGAGGGAGACTTACCTAGAGTACCGTGAGCGCCATAGCTCCCAGCGGCTCAGCCCAGCTCCCGCATCAGCCAAGGCGCCATCTTGCAGACGCAGGGTTAGGCCTGAGGCTCCTTGCCATCTCCCCCGACTCTCTGCCACCCCTATCAGTCTTCTTCTTCCTCAGACTTCATCTTCTTCCTCTTCTTCAGACTTCAGACTTCTTCTTCTTCTTCTTCAGACTTCAGACTTCTTCTTCTTCTTCTTCAGACTGGAGACTATTGATACGAGTTGGACAGAGATCAGTGGTTGGACTTCGGTGGTAGGAGCCTGTGATACTTACCGGATCCGAGACATTGGAGATAGTTGGGATTGATACCTGGCGGCATCACAGGTCGGACATCAGTTACATTAGAATTCTGTACCTCCGACATCGGTGACTTATGTCCATGACATTCTGAGTTTGTTCGGTGACATTTTGGGATACCATATCGGTGACCTTCTGGATTCTATCTCGGTGACATCTGGCGCTGTCCATATCTCCCACCTCCATCATCTCTCCTCCCACCATTCATCTGTGCATGGTTGTACGGGGACTGAAGCATCGTCTATGTATGGCTTCAGACCCCACCATCTCACGATTGCTTGTGTGTTGAGTGATGTTTGGGTGAGTTCAGTCCATTTCTCAGACTTCCGCTGCATTCATGCTCATCCTGTATTGGTTGATCTTTGGTTCTGCCCATACTTGGTGAAGCCTTCACTAGTATGCAACATCCAGTTTCTTTTTTTCTTTTTCTTCTTTTTTTATATAAAAGTTTGGACCATTTCTCGATTTATGCATGTCATCCTTGAAAGCGCAGGGGACATGCTACTAATCTTCTCTTTCTTTGTATCGTTCCAATTTTAACGGATGTCCCGAAGGTCCTGTTCGTCCAGTTTCTACGGAAAGGTACACTCGGCACTTCTCACGTTCGGCCGAGTAGGGGGGCCAAGGCCAAAAGGTCCATCTCTCTCTACACAGTCCAGCTTATGGCAACAGGACCTGGCAGCAGCTCAGCTCCTACAAAACTCCAGCTCCGCGACGGCACAGTACGGGGGCAAGGTCCCACTTGCACAAATTAGGAGATTTCGGCCGTTGATCTTTGCTATCTACGGTCAGTATCTCTTCATTCGTGAAAATGGGACCTAGCCCCAGCAGGGAGTAGGTACTTTTCCGCTCACGCAGGAGAGGAGGGTCCTGACGGTAGCAAAGCAGCCAGCTGGAAAGAACTCCAGTTGTGTGCATGCCAGTACGGCAAGGAGAGAGAGAGTCCTCTGAACTCCCTCCACACGGAACATCCAAAGCTCCCAGAGCGAGAAATCAACTGTCCAATGCCAGCAGCAGCAGCAAAGGTGCACATATCAGGAGCAAAAGAAATCGCCTCAAGCATGAGCATATATATCACCCAAAAGGCATCCGTACCAGTTTCTGTACCAGGTTCGGGTAGCAGATTCGCTAACAGCTTCTAGACCAGGTTCTGGACCAGGTTCGCGACTGACAGGAGTAACGACTCGCATCTCAGCTCCAGCCCTGGATGCCAGGAAGGCCGGGAGAGAGAGTCTGCAGCTCCTCACGCTACAGCCTTAGGCTCTCATCGACTCGGAGATCAGCTAAATGCTCAGCGTCAGCAGCAGCAGCAGCAACTGTCCACAGAGAAATGACATCAGCAATCAGCAAGGAGTAAAGCATCAACTGCACGGCAGGGCGCTGATAGCGGCATCGAGTCCAAGAACCTGCAGTCAGCGTGACAACTGGCCCAGGACCCGGTCTTC